CACACACAGACACAAAGAAAATCAGTCATCTTTTATATATCAGTTAAATCTCGTCTGTGGAGTTAACCTTTTCACTGCATGTATCCCTGAGGTCTAACAACATGCTAAACGTATCTCTATCTATATAGAGCCATTGCTCCATAGTGCTACTAATGGTAAAAAACAATCCACAGGGCACTAAATTTACATATATTGTTTGACTAAACAGCTTCAAGCCTCTTTTTAAAGTGTGTGTCTGACCTCCCAGATGACAGAGCGACATCCTTCAGCGCCATCAACAGACTCTCTCCCTCCACATAGGCAAAGGACAGGTTGATACAGCCTGAAAAGCACACACACAGTCAGTGTAGGAAGACATTTGGAGTAAATACCTTTAATTTGTGACAGTGGTGTGTTTTTGTTTCACTTCTGTGTGTGTGCGTGTACCAGGGTAGCGTTGTACTGGATCTCCATTCATGATGACGTCCGGAAGCCCAGCCATGATCTTCTGGACCAAACGATTAGCCAGCATGGAAACTCTATTATGGTCATACTGTGCACATACACAAACACACAAACACACACATTAGGTCTCAGGATGTTTGGTTGTGTTAGTTGAGTTTCAGGATTTTTTTGGGGTGCGTTTGTTTTACCTCCATCTCGTGCTGGGCGATGCTGCAAGCGGATCCCAGCCCTACAGCCAGCGGAGTGGGGACAGTGCCGGAGCGCAGCCCCCTCTCCTGCCCGCCCCCGTTCTGAATCGGCTCCAACCGCACTCGGGGACGGCGGCGCACGTACAAAGCACCCACACCTGCGCACACACACACAAAGCTGTGACCTGTGGAGTACCTCAAGGATCTCAAACCTCTTTCTGTTTACTCAATACATGCTGCCGTTTCAGGTCAGATTGAAGAGTAGAGTTCAGTATTTGTATTTTAGTACACCTTTAACTGTTTCAGTATTTCACATAGAAGGAGATAAACTGCCTCACTTTGTCTAATGAGCTAACACTTAAGTCTACGTTCAGGCTAACCTTTGGGACCGTAGATCTTGTGGCCGCTGATGGACATCAGATCAATCTTATAGTCGGTGACGTTGATGGGAATCTTTCCGACAGCCTGAGCAGCATCAGTGTGAAAGAAGACTCCTTTAGAACGACAAATCTTACCTATGGACAGGAAGGTTAGAGATCAATTAATCAATAGTTTTGATCAGAACACTGAACAAGATCAGGGAAAAAAAGTAAAGATCATATATGGATGTTTCTGATTTTGGCCTAACGTGGGGAGTAAGTAACGTGTGTTGCCGTGGTTACCGATCTCCTCGATGGGCTGTCTCACTCCGATCTCGTTGTTGATGGTCATCACCGACAAGAGAGAGGTGTCAGGGCGGATGGAGGCCTCCAACAGCTGAACACACACAGACACACACACACGACAATGACTTCTGTATGTCCGGCGTACAATATGTTCACTGTTTATTCTCTCTGAGTTCTGTTTACCTCCAGGTCCAGCAGTCCGTTCGTCTGGACCGGCAGGTACGTGATGCTGAATCCTTCGGACTCCAGAACTCGACACGAGTCCAGAACACATTTATGTTCAGTCTGAGTGGTGATCACATGGCGCTTCTTGGCCTGGTAGAACCTGGCCACGCCCTGCAGGAGAAGGACAGGCGGGGTCACTACTAACAGCACAACTCAATATTACTTCTAAGTATACTTTCACCTTTTCACTGTTCTTACTGCGAACTAAAAACAGGATAAAAAAAAGGATAAAGAAGGATGTAGTGGTGAGAGAAGGGGGAGGGAAGGTTTTTTTTTTTTTTTTTACCTTGATAGCCATGTTGTTGGACTCGGTGGCTCCGCTGGTGAAGATGATCTCTCTGGGATCTGCTCCAATCAGATCAGCCACCTGCTGCTCAGAGAGAAAGAGAGAGACAACACGCAGTCAGTGTCTGTCGCTCAAATTAAGATTTAATTCAGCTTGGTGTTACAGTTTAAATACAAAAATTCAGAATACATAAGAAAAAAGACAACTAATGTTTTACACATTGCCACAGAATATGTTCAATTTTACTTTTTTCCTCTCTCTATATATAAACTGAGTGTCTCTTTACCTTTCTGGCTGTCTCCATGGCGCTCTCACTCTCCCAGCCGTAGGCGTGTGTTCGGGAGTGAGGGTTACCGTAGTAATTCACCTGGTAGGGCAACATGGCGTCCAGTACCCGGGGGTCCTAAACAAACACACACACACACACACACGAGTTAAACTGTAAGTGCAAGGAAGTGTACGTAACTCTCTCGACTTGGACATCAGCTGGTAAAGCTTGTAACCATGACAACATGGTAGATAACTGTTACCATGGGCGTAGTGGCCTGGAAGTCCATGTAGAGGGGGCGGGGCTCATCTTTCTCCAGTTCATGCTTCTTTATCAACACTGTAGCACAAAACAACAACAGACAGACAGACAGACAGACAGAGAGAGAACAGTCAGCCAATCAGAGAGCCAGACAGTCAGTCAGCTGGTTTTACTCAGTTTAATCAGATCTTTATGGTTCTGGACTGAAACACTGGGTCTCTGTGACAGGCAGGTCAGTAACTTGTTGAGTCATTCATCAACTGTGTCTGTGGAGCCGAGTGCAGAAAAGTGAAAGAATTCTCTAAATTTAACACAATATCATATCGGTACCTAAAAATACGTGTAAGCCATCTTTATTGTTATTATCTTTTTTTATACATCTATTGTGTTGTGTGTTCATTTCAGTAAACTTCAATCTTCCCCCCATCAGTTTACTGTGGTATGCTACTTAAAGGTACCCTGTGTTATTTCCTTCCTCTTAAAACATTTGTAAAGCTACACTCTTCTTCTTCTTCTCTACCTTTGCAACATAAGTTGGCATGTTACCTCCACCTGCCAGTGGAATCACGTCACCATCGGTAGGACCGTGTATGGAGACCCACTCATATAAAAGCAGCTCCATAGTGCTACTAAAGGTAAAAACTCCACAGGGAACCTTAAATATTACTGTATTTTGTATCTGTTGTTTCTTTTTCACTGTATGTAAACAGAATTACTATAGATTTTGCCCTGACCTTTAACTGCATTCTTCAGTGGGGTCATTTGATAATAAACTGAGTCTTTTTAAGGGGCTTTGTACTACAGCGGAGCTGATACTGGATTTATGATATGGTTGGTAATCAAAATCTCAATATGGCCATCTGCAACGTGCAAATCGGAAGTTATTTTTAAATAAAAGGTAAATGTGTTACAAAACAGCATTATAATTAAGTAATGTAGTATTTTTTAAGGTAACAATACTTTGTTTGGTACAGACCCCCAAAAAGTTAGTGATTTTAATAGTTTTTTCTTGTTGTGAAAATTTAATTTGTGGCGCAAAAATGATCATGAATTACAATATCTGTCAAATAATAGTGATATGATGTTTTTACTACGTGCAGACTGAGGGTGTTTGGTGTCAGCCAGAACATCATGTTTTTATTTTATCAGGCAGTGATGGAGAGTGTCATCAGGTATGGGATGACAGCGCGGCACCTCCATCAACATTTTAAATAGATCTGTACGCTGAGGCCTGGGTGGGAAGTGTTTGTTTTGTTTTTTATTTGCTTTAACCTTTCATTGGATGTGTCATTGAGTGTGTACTGTAGCCTACGGTACGTCTTTAGCTGTTATATGTTTTTTATGTGTATTTATTGTCTGTAAGGGCAGCCACTACTCTGCATGAGTCCATGACAAATTTCGCCTAGGGGACAATAAAGTATATTCTATTCTAAGGCCAATATCGATATTCGATATTTGAGAGTTTAAAAATTATTAAAAATTAAAATTTAAAAAATCAGATGAAAATATATCAGCAGATGTTAATTTGTATTAAATGACCATAAACTGATCCATAAATGTTGTTTTAAAGAACAGTGACCAAGAAAGGCAGTTTTTACATTAAAATATCTGGTTTAGTCCAAAAACAGTCCAAAACCTAAAGAATACGTCAGATATTCAGAGAAAACACAAACACCTTTACCTTATAAGATCAAAAACAAAATTAAAAATGTCATTAAAACCAGATAATAAAATAAAAACAACGGCGCTGGAACCGCAGAAGGCTGATAAATGCCTGAAGTTATGAATTAAAGCATAAAAGTTATTGTCAGTTTTCAGCCAACCAACTAACATTAGTTCCCTTCAATGTTTTTAAGTGTTTTATAGCATTATTGTGCTCTTTACTGTAACAGACGACTCATTTGTAACGTTTAGTAACATTTCATCACTCAAGTTTACAGCTGCTGTAAACTGCGTCACTTTGGGGATTAGCTCCACGCTAACTGCTCTGTGAGCCCCAATAACCGGGCTGCTCGGCTCCGGACGGCCGGTACCTTTCGGTGCTGTGCCAGCGGCTCTCCGGTCGGAGCCCAGCCGGAGAGGGATCCACGACACCGGCCTGAGGAGCCGGGAGGAGACGGTCCTGCTTGGGGAAAGCATCTGTACGGCGTGCTGGTTTCACCTGGAGACCCGCTGACCTCCGACAACAACACGCTGACCCGCAACCGAAACACCAGTGAACACCGGGCTGAAGCGGGTTAAACAACCGGCTGCTGCGGGTGGAAGTGAAAGAAGATGATTTAAGACTCAATTTTAAATGTGAACGAAGTTTGGTTTGATTCAAGAAACGCTGCCGCCTGTCAGTTGCGTCCACATTACAACAGAATCGGACAGTGTAAAGGTAGGGCACGCTAACGACGAACACTTCCGACGATGACTTTCAAAATAAAATATTTTATTGACGAGTGTGTGTTTTCTCGTTTTCTTTACGTAAAAACTACTATTTTTTCAATGTTTCTATTCAAAATGTTTTTATTAACTAATAATTGTATGTTATGTACACAAAAATCATACTAATTTTATGAAAACATTTCACTTTGTTTAGTTTTCTAAAGCATTCTTCGTCCTCTCTGCATCTACTTCCGGTGACTCTCTGCAGCTTGACGACGCTCGACGTCACTACTGTTTTATAGTTGCACAAGAAGCGGAAACAGGGGCGGGACTTCCTCTGGACGAGCTGTGCTCTCATTGGTCGATGTGCGTTGTTTTGGTCCTGTTTGAGGCGGGGCCAATGCCTTTCTCTGTCCTCTGATTGGTTTAAAACAGGCGTTTATACAACATTGGTTCAGTTACACTTTACATTTTATACATTTTAGAGCAAATTTTCTTATATCCTGTGACCAAAAGATTTTGGTTAGCTATAAAGAATTAGATTTCACTAAAAATAAATTACTTTCTCATATTTTATTTTTGTGTAAAATGTATTCCAACATTTATTCCCTGATGTTTTGAATTATTATTATTATTATGCCACCCTTTTTGAAATTCTTGCATGGTTTTATTTAGTTTCTTATTTTCTCCTGGAGATTTTGATATTCTGTTCACTTTAAGTTTCGTTAATATGTTTTTATTTCTATAAATCCCACATTTCTTTTCATGTTTAGTTCATGTATGTATGAACGAGTTCTATTATGTTTGTTATTGTCTATTTAACAATAAAAAATCCCTCTCTCATAATGCATTTCTTATTCCTTGACCCAGTCACACATGGACTTTGCCTCGTTGACACTACTTCTCTGCATAACCTTTTAAAAAAATAGATAGAATAGATATGATAAATAGAATAGATAGATTACAGTAGATAGAATTGAGATAAGATAGGATGATAGAGCTTTTTAAGTCCCCGGAGGGAATTGGGTCTCATATGCAGCCAGGGTTACATTATAAGATAAATAAACACCAACTAGAATTAAAACACAACAATAGAATAAATAGCTGGAGTGTACGAAACGACTAAAAAAGATAAATTAGATAGATAAGGTCAAAGAGTGGTAGTTGCGAAGATGGTGGGTAAAGTAGTAGTGAGTGACATTGAGTCGGTAGGCTTATTGTTAACAACAGTATATAATAATAACTGTATGTAATAAGTATATAATATAGACGAGATAGTATAAACGCAGATAATGTGAGAAGGTTGGCTGTATGTATATTGGTTTAAGAGCGCAGTAACTTGCTATCTGCAGTCAAGCTTTCATTGAATATATATATATTTATACTTTGACCATTAAAGTGTCGCTCACTTATATGTCCACACAGTAAGAGCAGTAATGCACCAGACTCCTAAACCACCAGGTAGAAGAAGAGTGAAGAATCATATCCGGATTGTGTTGTGGCAGCAATTTCCATGTAACTAGGAGAGCTCTTTATTTATTTTGAAATAGTTTTGATCTCTATGTTATTTTGTTTGGCAGCGTGAGGTGAAAGAAGAGGAGTCCATCAGGTCAGGTGAGTTTCTGTGTCTCTTTTGAGCGCTAAGGAGGGGGTGGGATAGCGGAGTTGTGCAGCAGGCTAACAGTGTGTGTTCAGTGGAGGTGATGAGGTTTGGCCTGTGCTGGCAACTTAGGAAGAGTTTGTTAGTTCTCCTCGCAGTTAACGTGAAGTCGCAGTAACGTCGTTAAAGGTTCAATACGAGCTGAGGTCTTTTGTGGATATAACGTTACTGTACGTGTGGCTGACGGGTTTCAACGCAGGTCATGTCCTGGTGTCACGACGAGGATAAACTACCAGCTAGTTTCCTTTACCGAGTGTCTTAATGTTAGTTACTTTATATATAGACACCCAGTTTGTTATTGTCTCTATCTGAAGACCTGGGAGTTTGTTGTTGTCTCTTTATTGTGGCACCTGGGAGTTTGTTCATGTCTTTATGCTGGACACCTGGGTGGTATTGTGCTGCTGTGGACAACCTGGAGATTTGTTATTGGTCTCGTTTTATTGTTGGAACGATGGGAGTTTGTTGTTGTCTCCTTTTATTGGGTGGACACATGGAGTTGTTTGTTGTCTCTTTATTGTGGACACCTGGGAGTCCCTGTCACGACATAGACATGTGGGCGTCCCTCATTGTATCTTTGTGTCCACATAGACTTGGGAGTTTGTTGTTGTCTCTATCTGGACACCTTTGAGTTTGTTTATTCCTAGATAGCTAAAAACATTACTTTAGTAACACAGACTGAGCTACATTTCTGTCATCATTTCTAGATGCCAAAGCATTTTTTAAAAGGGAAAATGATTCGGTACTCTAGGTGTGTTACACTGTCATGACTTGACAGGAGGAGGATGCTCACCTTTAACCATCTAAGTTGTGAAAGCCAGCTGGTTTTGAAAGTTATGAAGCGGCAGTTAACACTTCGGCTGTCTTCCCAGGTGACACCATGCTCCTGGAGCCTGCAGCAGCTGCAGATCGACGCGTTTGACCGAGGAACCACCGTCACTGTGGCCACCATGGGAACGACGATGAGTGAGCCGTGTATCTACGACAAGCTGTCCGAGAGCATCGACATCCTCCGCCAGTCGGGCTACCGCTATGGCATGTCGGAGAGGGAGATAGAGAGGTTCATCAAGCAGGTCCTGGAGACCAACGAGCCCAGGAGAGAGCCTCCCCAGTTCCCCATCCTGAGGGCCACCATAAAGGTCAACACAAATATTATACTAGTGACAGAAAGTGTAATCAGTGACTCACTAAAGGCCTCTTGAATATGAGGATTGGGTTGCTTTTCCCGGTTTGTTTTAGTACAAAGGTCTTCCTTCTGTTTACATTGTGGAAATTCTCTCTTTGTATTCCTGTTAGTCCACTGCAGCTCAGCAAGAAAACACTACAGGAATTTTGTACTAAAAAGACTTTAATCTGTAAAAGTTTCCACTTCATTTGTTCGAACTGCTGAAGGCCAAAATCATGTTAGTAAGCATGTTAGGAAACGATCACATCATGACCAAAATAGGCAGGAGGGAATGCATAAGCACTCATTTTCTTGCTGTAAAATAAATGACTTGGCAGTTTTTATACGAAGCAAATGTTTATTTTTGCTGTGTGTGTGGAAGGACACAGCTTTCAGGGTTGGTAATGTCTCTGTTATCTCTGCAGTTTGTGGTGGCAGTGGGCTTCCTGCTGGTGGCGGTGCTGGCCTTCACATACCCCCAGAGTGCCCCTCAGCTGGGTCTGGTCAACCTGGGCTGTTACAACTGGTCGTCGCCCCTCAGCCACGTCCGCCTGCTGTCCCTGCCCATCGCCAAGAAGTACAACCTACAAGGTCTGGAGCTTGATCACTCGGTCCCTCTTTCTGTTTTGAACTGAACAAAAATGCGCAGACAGTTTTTTACTAATGAGAAAGTCTATCTATCTATCTACAGGATGAAAATATTCTTTTCTGAAAGGTCCTAGTGTGTAGGATTTAGCAGCATCTGGTGGTGAAGTTGTAGCTGCAACCATTTGAATACAGCTCAGCTCTTAATATGCTTCCACGTGTGTGCGAGCTGCAGGTTTCCATGAATGGTGGAGTGCTGGCTCTCTCCGACACAATCTGGTCAACTGTTCGGGCTGTGCAGAGATCTCTTCAGTGCTTGAAGTCCCAGAGAGCCTCAGAGGGACCGTGACTCTGCGACGGGGGCCACAGCTCGTCCTGCTGAAGGTCAGAGGTCAACACAGACAGAGTTGGCCTTCTGATAGGCCTTCCCATGTGAGAACCATGGGTGCAAACTTTGTAAACGACAGCTTTAAAAAAGCTTTTAATAAACGCTACAATTGAAAAGAAATGTATATATTTATACTGAAGCTGTGAAGTTTGATGAGTTGCTGGTTCCTTCACACTGGTCTCTGCAGGGTGGGGAGTCCCTCAGTATCCAGCGGCAGCAGCTTGAGGAGCTCTACTTGGCCCATTCAGGCTCCATGTCCATCCTGCTGGAGGAGGACGACGGCCTGCAGAACCACAACCTCGGCCTCCCGCAAGGACCCGCTAACTTCACTCTGCTCTGGTACACTTTTCTTGTTTCCCCCTTTTTTAAGGTAATGTTTTGGGCTTTTTATGCCTTTATTTTTATAGGACAGGTAAAGATAGACAGGAAAGGTGGGAGAGAGAGGGCAGGAAGATATGCAGCAAAGGGCCACAGGTTGGAATCAAACCAATAAGGACTCTGCTGCATCATAATTACAGTGAGAGAAAATAGTTTAGGAAATCAGTTGTTGAAGAAACTGTATGAAGAAATTATTAGCTAACCAGTTCCAGGTCACATTATAATGCATTTATTGTGAAGGTCATGCAGGAAGTAGAGAAGTATCAGTGTTAGCTTTATGCGTACTTTGTTTACCATTGTATTGTACCATTGTAAATTAACAAAGCAGAACAGAAAGCTGTAATGTGAATCGGTCACATTCAATCCATAACATAACCAACCCACTGAACCAGGTCAGTATCTGATCAGCACCAAGAGGACACAGTGGTATCTAATGATTGTGATTGGTGCCACACGTGTTGTAGGAGGTTCAGCTCGGGGACCAGGGAGAAGGTGTTGCGGTGGCTCTTCCCGAAGGCTGAGCTCTGCCCCCTGCTGGACAGTGCCGGGACCATCGTGCAGCGCTGCCTGGTTACTCATAGCACAAACTCCCAGAGCAAGGTCAGTTCACGTGTCCAGACCCACTGACAGAGTGATGGACAAAAGGCACAACTGTGACTATTTACAATATGCTGTGATGATGTTTTCACACTGATGTTGTTGTTGATATTAAAAGTGCAGTATTGGACTGTAAGTGTTGATACAGAAAATAAATCTGTATGGATACCGACAGAAGTTGTGGAGAAAATGATGGAATGCATAAAACTACTTCAGATTTTGCCTTAAACATATGTTTAAATGGCAGGAATGTTAGTTATATTGTTTTGAAGCAGTTGTCCTCACTCTCAGTGTTGGTCTGTATTCTTCCATTGTTCACCACTAATGAAAGTCTTAACTTTAAGTTGTTGTCTGTGTTTTCAGGGTGTTGGGGTGTTTGGCTGGCTGGTGGTGGGCGAGGGGTTACCAACAGTTCGAGTTCTTCCTGTTCAACGCTGTCAGAAACACTGCAGCTCCTTCAACCTGTGGCTGACACCTGGAGACATGGGTAACACCTGCAGCAGCTGTTTTTATCCACAAATGCAATTATTTGAAAAAACTTCACACAGCACAAATAGGCTTTGTTCCTGTGCCCTCAACATGAAATAGGATCTTCAGGGCTCCGTATAAAAGATATAAATTACTTGCCACAGCAGACTGATAAGGATTTTTATACAACAAATCAACACATTTTGCCTATCACCCAATAAAGTCAGTATGTTGTACACACACACACACACCACACCACCACACACACACACGGACGGACGGACGGACGGACAGTCTCTCTTTCATCTCACTGTCCTTCCATCATAATCCAGATGACAAAAGGTTCTCAGCCGATGAAAATCAAGATTAAATATTCTGACTTTTACTGTCAGCTGAAACCATAAACTTTATTAACAGTTAACAGAATATTTTCTACTGAACTACAACTGCTTTCTTTCAGGCTGCAAGCAAAGTGTAAGAATGTGTGTAGTTTGAGTAAAAGGAGACAGTTTGTCTGACTAACTGTAGCTCACTGTCTTTGAGGTGTTTACATGTTATATCTGTTCCCCTGATCTATAAAATCACACAGTTGAAGGTTACATGGCTGCAGAAACTGTCCAATCTGAACATTTAGTTCATGGTTGTTCCCTCTGACCTTTGACCCTGTGCAGTGTACGCTGACCCTCGATACTGGCAGATGGAGCTGTTCCCCGGCCGAGGCCAGAACATCATCTGTGACGGATCGGCCTTTTAACCTTCAGGTGGAGGAGGACAGTTCAGGACCGTGGCGTGACAGATCGGCTGTGAATGTCTGACTTCCTGCTGAGGCGGCGCTCGTCTGCCTTCACGTGGCCCCGCCCACTGATGCCTTATAACCCTACGGTCTTTTTTTCCGACGCCCCGACCCGTCTGATAATCCTCCCATTGTCCTCAGAGAACTGGAAACCATTGCACACATGACTTTAAGGGTCAAGGTCGGAGGATTTAGGAGTGACTTTTTGACTTTGTCCTCGTGTATAACAGCGGAGCATCATCGGCCTTTAGACTCTCTGCAGCTCTCAGATGTTTTGGATGTGCTGTGCTCGTGCCATAGCTTCAAGCAGATGTCTAGCAATGAAATCACTGGGTGTGTTTCTTTTTCAGAAGGTAGTGAAACACTGTCGAGTACATTGCCGATATCCTGTTTGTAGAACTCTGAATCGCGGCCCACATCTACGATTTGTTCAGCAATTTTTAAAAAATAGGTGTTTTGATACCTTTTTCTTGGGTTACTAGTCAATCAGGTTTGTAGGCGGGATTAAGAATGCGTGCAGGTTGATGTAAATCAAGTTAAAAGAATAACAAGTCTAAAAATCACTACATTTATTCAATCAACTTTTTAAGTGTGTCAACTGAAAATGATGTTGACTGGACGGGTCAATGCTGATTGTTTAGAACAAAATAAATCAGAAAACAGCTAATATGTATACAAAGAATGAAAAGAAACAAAGTGGACTTTCAGTCTTTATTACATAATGCGTATTCTGCAGTGCACTAATGACTTCGGTGTCAGTAGTTGTTGGACGTTCGCTACCTCCTGAAGTTGTGAGACACACCTGCAGTTTCCCCTTCTGCTCCTCATCCTTTTTATCTTAAAGGGCCATTTCACCAAAAGTTACACAAACTTATTCATCCTTCATGTCTTTTATCAGGATCAGCTTCAGATATATATTTTTAAATTGTGATTTTACTAATTCATCAGACAAAGCTGCTTCTCTAATTTGAGTGTCGTTATTTATTGTTATGATTGTATATGTATATATATATATATGTTCAAGCCATTCATTTTAATAATAACGTGTTGTAATATTATTATGCTGTGATCAGTTGTGGTTATTAGTGCAGAGTGCAGACAGCAACATCACAGTGACGCAGTAGAGCAAATACTTTGTGCATAATCAGGGTTTTAATGGGTCGTTCAAAAGTCTGAATAATATTAAATCAGTTTGCCAAAGTTAATGCCTGTCAAATCCGAGTTTCTGTGTTTAACAGATGCTCCGCCTCGTTTTGTTTTCGCATTAAAAAAAAACTTCACATTTCCAAATATCACCCGATGGGAGTGCTTGAACAGAATTAGGGAGTGAATCGTTTAAAATGTTTGCTTCGTATAGAAATGTCATAGTTTTTATGAGAAAATTAAAGCTTGTCATGTATTTGCTTCCATCTGTGTGGAATTGTTTTTTTTTTTAAGTGCTATGAAGCAGAAAGGTTGGAAATGAGGCGAGTTTGAGGTAATGAGCAAAGGTGTTGAACTGCTTATTTTACAGATGAAGCTGTGAGTGTTCGGAGCACCGCAGTTAGGAAATAATGAATTGTACACAATGTTAAACAATGTTTTCTGAGATTTCAAAGTCAACGTGATTTAACAGGAAACATCTGAAGTACTTCCATAGGAATGTTCATCCAACTTCTGGCACATTTTACTGTGTTCACAACGTTTGTATTGTTATTGTTGACAAACCTTAAACCCAGTTGCCAGTTTATTAGATACACCAAACTAAAACTAAAGTCCTAAACCTTAAATGTTTTTGTACAAACTCTTAGACAAATGTTGATTCAACAAATTTGCTTTTTTTTTTTTCCTCCATCACAGCTGCCAGGTTGTAAACAATCATTGTTCCAGTTGTTCTCAGATCAGACTTTTATTGAACCCTAAATGTGACATATTATATTAATAGTATTTATTTAATACTTGATCGTCTCCAATTCTGGTTAAAATATTTCTATTTAGCTGCTAAATCTAATCTCTTGCCAAAACTGCATTCACAACTTAACCATTACAGTGAGTTGATTCATTAATATCAAAAATATTAATTGAAGCCTTAAATGAAAAAAGAATGATATAAATAAGATGTTAAATATGACGTTTTCATGTAACCTGGCCGCAGTCTGAAGTAGACAAAGTATCACCATAGTAATTACAAACAAGAAATAAATCTTTATTAGTCTGAACATAATGTAAACGGACAGCAGCAAACAGCGCAATGCACAGTAGCAACACAAGTTAAGTAGGTTTGTATTAGATTAAACATTAAAGGTGGACTAAGTGATTCTGATCAGTTCCAGTCGTTTTGAACGCAGCCCTGCCTCTGTGAATGGTAAACAAAGTGGATCAGACCGAGCCACACAACACAACACTAACTTGTTATTCCAGGATTTGTGTGTTAGGTACCGTCAGTGAGTTGACTAACAACAGTTTGCAAACCCTAACATTAGTTACAGGTCTGGCTGCTGCTGTTCTGTTGTTGTTTGTTGTTGTTGTTGTTGTTGTGACGTCAGCTATAGCAGAAAAGGAGAGTTGTATCGCTGAGTGCTGCCCTCTGGCACTATATTCGTCACCTAATTTCTCCAGAATCGCTTACCCCACCTTTAATGTGTATTTGTGGATATGTTAATAAACCGCACGTACTGTGGAGTCTGTGGGGTGACAGTTTAAAAACAGACTGATTTAAAGGTCCAGTGTGTAACATTGGCAGAAATAGAATAATATTCATTCAGGTATATTAGTAAATAATCACCTGAATATGGTGGAATATGGAATATGTTGTGTTTTTAATACTTTAGAATGAGCCGTTTTATCTACAGATAGAGCTGGTCCTCTTCTACAGTCCACCATGTTGAACTGCCATGTTTCTACAGAAGCCCAGAACAGACAAACCAAACACTGGCTCTAGAGGGACCGCTCACATATTTTGCTGCCACCGTAGTTTCTCCTGCATGCTTGGAAGGCTGAGCTGAATCTTACACACTGGCCCTTTAAATACAAACTGAATGAATTTATAATACTCTTATATTCACTGATTATAATTAAAAACTGTGCAGATATATTATTATCGCAGGAGCACAATACAGCAACTGTTACTACAATCTAACTTTATCAGGGTGTTGATTCTCCAGCAGGGGGAGCTGTTCACTTATTGTGACCAGCGCCGCCTACAGGAGAGCAAAGTAGTGGTTCAGTACATAGTAATCTGCCATGTTTTAGGGGAAGTAAAGCATTTGAAAGATGCACCTGGAAATGATACTTTAATATTCAGTAGTATTAACTGAATATTACAAATGTAATGCAGCTAAATCAAAGCAGACTGAATAACTAAAGACATTAAACAATCCTGTGTGCTAATATTCTTTCAATCAATAACTTTTAAATATTCTACCATGTGAGCCCCCAGTGGTCTTCATAGACGTGAAGGAAGAGCGGCTATAATTTATAACTGAAAGTAAAAGACAGTGCAGCGTTTTCAATTATAATATAGAGTGTAAATGAGGAAGTCACTGAGAGGGACTTGCAGTTTGAGGTTAAAGTGCAAAGCATCATATTTGGGTTTAAAGGGTCAGTTCCCCAAACAAAAAATATTCTTCCCTCTCGTATTATCGATCCGGTCACATAGATTTTATTTTATTTTATTTTATTTGTACAGGTTTTGAGATTTCTGTCTTCCCACTAGTACAACAGAGGGAAGAGAGTTTATTCAAACCTGATGTTTTATTATTTGTAATATGTTAAACGAATACAAAACTATCTGACCGGAGAGACAACACAAGAAGAAAGGAATTCTCTATTCTCTCTATATTTAGTTGTACTGCCCTTTTAAGAGCTGCCACGCCAGCTTTAAGAAATTCCCTATAAAAACCCCTTTACACATGATTAGAAAACGTTTTAAAAAATCTGTGTAAAAGCAGTTGTTGTAGGATGTTCTGCTGCTGGTCACGTTCCTCCGGCCAGCAGTGGAGACGACTCGGAGGCTCCGCGTTTGTGGTGATGTGACGCTGCGACGCCATCGTGTGACCAGTCGTACAGATGGCTGCTCTGCAAAACTGCTTCGGCTTGCAAGTTAATTTTCTTCATAAAAAAGAAAGAAACAACAGTTACACACACCTGAATTTAATCATCTAACAAACAAAACTCGGATCATAACAAATGCAAACAGCAGTTTCTATACATCATTTTATATCATGTTTGTTGTTTGCAACCTGCTCTCTTCTATCAACCCTTTGTGGGCACCTTTAACCTTTTTATTTTAATTGTAATTGTATATGAAGGGGTAGTTTAAATTGATATAAAATAACTACAATAATAAAAATTTTAAAAAACCACTGGGTCAAGTCAGTAACTTACTGTAGGTCTAAACTATGTATCTCTACACTGGACAAACAAAGATACAACTTATTATCTGATTCACAGAACATGAGGATTTCCTTAAACTGTTTGTAGGAGTGACTTCAGGACATTTTCTATGCAGTGTTAATAGCGATGGCTGTGTGTTTGTCTGGTCTTCACAGTAAATATAACAAACAAAACACATAAGATTAGACTACAACAGCAGCTGTGTGGGTGAAAAGATGAGAGAGAGAGTACCTGAAAATCTCTGATGTAGGTGAGGAAGAAGCTGATGAAGGAGAAGGCCAGAAACCATTCAGACACGGTGCTGATAATGTGAGCTGTGTAGCCCTGAAAAGGACAAGATACAAACATTAATGTTGACGTGATGCTGCAAAGAGCTGCGTTACCAACATCAATACGTTTTGTTACCAACTGGAAGGTGAAATTATTTTATTTCTTTTAGTTCTTGTATTGTTGATTGTGTTCAGACAACTTATATTTCTCAAAGTAAGGTATCACTCAGCATCAGTACTGAAACTTATGACATCAGCACTAGTATTGGAAAAATAAATCCCACCTATGGTGCTGCAAAAAGCTCAGCCGCCCTCTATAAACACACTTATGACTACTGACCGTCTCTCCAGGAGTCCAGTGCAGTTTGTGAGCTACGTCCACTCCCGGCAGGCTGCTGTACATGATGACTGATGATATGAACACTGACAGGACGCTGTTAAGGATCATAGCTAAACACTACAGAGGGTGTGTTTCCATACACAGCTGATATTCTGATTCGCTTCCCATAACCTTAAACTTTTATCAGCCGCTGTTCCTTTGGTGCTGGGTTCTTCTGTTTCCATCATGTTTTACAAACCAGACTTCAAATATTTCATTATTATTAAAGTGTGACCCCAGAAAGTTATTGTTGTGGTGTTTGCTGTGTCGCTAAAGCCGTTGTTAGTATCATCTCCTGAGCAGTTCAGGTCCAGTAATTGTCCCCGAACGTGGTGGAGAACAGTGGGAAACAAAAGTAGAACCTGTGACAATGACTGCATGTTAAACTGGTTGTTACGCTCCTGTAGTGGATAAAGGCTTTTCTATCAACCTGTCCACTGATCCAGTCTCCACACCAAGTGCAGTCCTTCCATTCATTTAACAATACTGACGTTTACATGTAAAAGAAAATAAATAGTGGCGCCACTTCTATTATTGTCCGTTGCAAACAGTCTTTAAAAATGATGCTTGTTCTTGTCTCAAAAACATTGTTTAAAACATTTTGGTTTGTAAAACACAAGGTAGAGCCTCAAAGTCCCAGAGGTTCTTAAACTCCAGGTTACCGGTCATTAAGTTCCTGCTGTGGAAAAGAGCTGTCAGACTAGGTTTTCATCACTGTTTTCTGTTAGTTTTTTTTCTCCCGTGTTTAATTTATTCTTTATATCAATTGAGAAATGACTCAAGAACCCCTGGAAGTCCATGTGTGTCTCCACGCTGACTTTGTACAATCATTTAAAAATCACTTTGTTTTTCAGTCTGAACACATTCAGGACTGTTTTGATTTGGAAATTAATAAAAACCTCATTAAGTAATTATTGTCTCACTACTCTGTCGCCATATTAAAGGATACTGCTGATGATGCTGCACAGGGTCCAGAATCCGATGCCGAGGCGGACCAGGTAGATGGTCTTGCTGTGGACGTGAGGCTGCATGTAGAGTGAGAGCAGCGTCTGAACCAGGATGTAGAGCGCTCCGACCCCAAAGGTCAGCACGGCCCCCACCAGGTGCATGGAGAACAGCGTGGTCTTCTGCTCACACACACACACACACACACAGATTCACTGACATGTTCAACACACGCTGTACAGGTGTGAACAGATCCAGAACCAGCAGCGCTCACCTGGAAGTTGGCGACCACGCACATCCCAAAGGAGCTGATCAAACCGAGCAGCAGCCCGAAGCGATTCAGTCTGTTCACTTTGAGCTCGCCTTCACCTGTCAGAGCCTCCACCTGTTTGTAACGCACGTATACTGTGGCCATACCTGCACGCACACACACACACACACACACAATGAGTGAAATAAGTCCTATAACAGCAGCCGATATCCGTGTGTGTGTGTGTGTGTGTGTGTGTGTGTGTTACCTAAAAAAGCTGACACATCCAGCATGATGCCAAACACACACCTCTCTGGTGGCATTGTTCCTGTGTCGCTGCAACACACAACAAAGTTCATTAAAGGGATTGTTTTATTTAGTTAAATATGAAAAAAGCTTTTGTTTTAAAAAAAATATATGTTTAAGATCTAAACTTTGACAAATTAAGCATAGCGTTAGTTCAGGCAGGCCACGAAGTCAGGCTCGGTTCTCAATTCCAGCTATGTCATATGATCACAGCTAGTCGTAAACACACATCAGCTGATGGCTCAGTTGATTCCTCCCTGATCCCCTCAAGCATCAAATCGAATATATTCATCAGGCGCCTTATTTAAGCTGCCGTTAGCCTGCCTTAATGCTTTGCTGCTTCCTCTACAAGGCTGTTTTTGCAACCCACTCCATCTCCCATTCTCCTCCCTTTTATGTTTGGTATCTGAATTAAATTAAATGCATTTTCTTGATTGCCATTGAGCCTTGCTCTGTTCTGTACCTGGGGGGTCCTCTGCCTTGCCGCTCCCCTTGTCTTTTAAACCTTTACATGTATCCACGTGGAAGGGCAGGGAGGTCCCAGAAACAAGCCAATCCACCAAATGTAAATCCTGCTTTTGGAATAAAAGTTAATTTTGACAAAAGTGTCCTGACTGAACTTGAACACAAGCTGTAATTAAGCGTCCACTCTCTTGGCTAAAGAAGGAAAAGTAACGCAAGTTAAAACAAATAAAGAGTTAATAGATAATGCCCGAGCCAATCTGGGAGAAAAAACACGGATTTGTCACAAAAACTAAGCCTATTTAGTTCTGTATGCTTGTTAAAAAATATAATGTTAAAAAAAAATAACATAATACGAAGAGAAATTGTATAAAAGCCGCTAATACTGTCCAGAAAACTCTGAATATTTCTCCAAATTTGACGTTTTTGACCAAATTCCTGCAGTTCAATGTTTGGGGTTCATATACAGTTTATTATTCTGTTCTGTTACTGTTATACACTGAATAGTCATAAGGATCTAAGTTTACTCAACGATAGAAAATGAAAAGGGTTGAGAACCCGCTGCTCTGAGATAACTGTTTGTGAAAGTGGATTGTTTTAACAGTTTTCTGGTCAATAAATCAAATTAATGTTTAATGTATTATAATCAATGTTATTATTACGTATATAAAATCATATTAGTGGGCACATACTTTCAACTACATTTTCAATTGAGACATTTGAAAAGAAAATTACAATACTACAATCCAAACCAAAATCAATATTATCGAAAGAAATAGAGAGAGAATGTGTGTGTTGTGTTGGTGTGTTGTTGGTGTGTGTGTTGTGTGTGTGTGGTAAGGTGTGTGTTTCAGACCTGATGTAAGGCAACCAGAGATCCCCATGTTTTCAGCAACACCGCTGTGATTACCAAAGATGAAGGACGCCGCCCGCCAGGTGACCAGCGCTGGGCCAGGAAGCAAAGACCCAAATGCGGAACCACCACCATGGCCGCCTCCACTGTTGTGTGTTGTGTGTGTGTGTGTGTGAGTGAGAGAGTGTGTGTGTGTGCTGCTGGTTCACTCTGTCCTGTATAAAAGACACAAACAGGGACATACACTGATATACAGCCGGGCCATCATCAACTGTGCTGCTGACTCAAAAAATGACAAATGAATGTGATTTTTAAAGTTAACATTAAAGTTCATTGATCTGTTTGTAACTGGTGACATCAATTAGTCAAATTGTTTCACTTTAAAAGACCAGTATAAATGCCGTGTCCATACTGGCAGAATGAAGAACCGTGGATGTGAAGGAAAACCGGTACTGGTCCAGTGTGATTCAGAAACACTGAGAGCGGACTTTAATATGAAGCATATTCATACATTATGCAATTTGTAATGAGGTAGAAGGAGTAGTTGCCTTTAAAATGGGTTTAATGTTGAAATTGTGTTTTTATTGTGGGAAAAAAAAACATCAGAAATGTCTGAAGGGGATCTTTAAATTATTATATTATCATGATTATCTCTACGGGGCATTTTCATATCCTAAACTATCACACAACATCAGTTAAAACACCAGTTCTGAGAGGCGGGAGTCATCTGAAATGAACATCCACAGCTTCACCTGGCACTCGAGGCTGCAGCAGGTAACCTTTATATCTGCTGACATTTTCACTGTGTCCTGACATCAGTACATGAGACAGACAATCTGTGAATGAATCAGGTTCCTCTGGCTCTAGTGCTCCTAATGGCATTCACAAGAATCCGTCATTCAGGACTAAAACAAGCAATCAGAGCAGAGACAGAGGTTGTTTTCATCCTGGCCCCTGGTGGATGCTTGCAGATGTAATTAGGAGCGCTAGGAGGAGCCAGAGAAACCTGATGTTTCCGCAGATTATCTGTCTCATATACTGCTGCCAGGATAATAACATTTCACCAAATATGACAAAACAAAAAATACTGGTATAAAAATGACCTACTGCAGCTTTAAAGTGTTAAAAAACAATGTTATGGTAACGAGTGCAGAGGCTTTAAGGAAAGTCCCCATGTTCTCGCCGAGGAAGTGAAACTGAGCAAGTCTTTTGTTATTCTCTCCTATAGGGAACCAGGGTCGCTCACACCAAACTCCATTCAAAAATCTGACACTTTAAGAAAAACCAAACTGAGCTTATACGAGTCCAAACGTTACATGCAACGTCAATGATCCAAATTAAAAGCACCAAGATTGTACCTAGCTCTCCTTAGCTGCGGCCGATAGCTCCCATCGATCATTATTAACGTTATATTTAAACGTTTTTCAGTTTTATCGATTGGACCACCCAGCCGATCGATAGAGGAACTATCGTCACGTGAATCAGTCAGTCTGTTTGTAACTGATCATAATGAAACTCACCTTATCACGAGTCCTCCAGTGACCATACTCTTCCTCAGGCGACTCCCTAAATCTCTTGTTTCCTAGCGGGACTCTGGTGTCCAGACGTCCGTGCTGTGGTCACTAGCCGTCGGTGTTCTGCGGAGGTCGTGTGCCGAACTTCCATTTAAAAATAAAGTTAAAAGTTAGGGTCGTTGTGGTTCAGCGGAGGGTGAAGCACGCATGCGCAAATCAACAACAAGACAAGACTTTAGGGATAGTTCTGTCCTGAATTCTGTCTCGCAGGCGAACCTACAGGAGCACAGTGTGCCCTCAGTTTAGACTACAGGGAAGACCATTTTCACCAATGTGACAGAGAAATGATTCTGTAAGTCAAAATAATGAGACACTTTCTCAAAATAATAATGAATAATGAATTGAAATACTAATTTTTTAACCTTAATATATATATTTATATATATTCTTAATATATTATATTTTCTGGAGTAAGTTAACAAAAGTAATTTCCGCGTGGGATTATTAAAGTATTTCTGATTCTGATTCTTATAATTCCAAATATTGAGAATAAGTTTGTCATTATTTTGCCATCCTAAATTAAAATACTGAGAAAGTTTCTAATAATTTTGAAATCCTACGTAAATATTTTTAATAGATTTCTCATTATAATGACTTACAATAATCTTTTTTTTTTCACATTGGCATAAATGGGCTCCATAAAAAAGTTCGCATGAAGTGCTGATAAAAAAACAAACTTATCATTTTAGGATACTCAGCAGAGCTAATACGGTATTTCTCACAAATCTACAACCCAAATAGTATATATAATTTAGTTTTGCAAGTGCATCATGAATAACACATAATACAATGTGCTCCAAACAGAAATTTAAGTATTAATTTTACACCAATATGTGTTTAAGAAGCACTACTGTGTACAATTAGGGCTTCATAAGTACTTGAAATAGGCCTACTATTGAAATCAATATGGCCAAATTATAACTCTAATAAATTGCAATATTACATTTTTATAGTATCGTGCAGCCCTACTATTTACATTTATTCACTCTCTCTCTCTGGCAGAGTTAGATGAAAGTCTGCCTGATAAACGGTGGTTAGCTTACTAGCAACAAGAGACTGTTAAACCAGGCTCTGTGAAACAAAATCATCCAACCAGCACCTCTTAAATCATAAAACACTTTACATTGTTTGTTTAATCCTTTACAGTAAAAACTACAACTTGACATTTTACAGGGAGATTTATGTGGGACTATTTCTTGGCTCCGAGCAGTTGCCAGGCAACCAGCAGACACTCCAGGAAGTCATGACCAAGAAATAGTCCCATATATAAAGTCCCTGTAAAGGGGCAGATGTGCATATTTACTTTTTTGGAATAAACAAACAAGATACGTGTTAATTAGATGTGAAAGTTGGTGGATTTATCATTTGACAGAAGCAGGCTAGCTGTTGCTGTTCCCTGTTTCCAAGTTTTGTGCTAAATTAAGTCATCCATAATATATACACTGTCAATGATCTACTCTCAACAAAGCAAATCAGCATATTTCTAAAACTATTGAACAATTTAAACCTACTACACTGTAGGTTTTTAACTGGTTATGGGTCTTAATTAAATACTGATGCCTCTATATGACCTACATAAGCACAGACGACAATCAGTGAGAAGATTGGTTATTTCTATGTTGTTATTCTTAATGCCGGCCTCCTGCTCAGATTCCCATTGAAATGAATGATATAAGTCGTTGGAAACACTACTGCTTTTGTCCACAGGGGGCGCCAGAATTAAACTTCCTTGTTTTAAGAAACACACCACCCTCTGGAGCGTTGCCTTGAGGACAATGAATCCATCAGTTTGACCGTTTTCCAGTAAAACACAGAAGATGAAACCTGCTTCCAGGTAGGAAGTATGAAATTTATTTGCATTGGTAGGTGAAAGGAGAGATTGTCAGGTGATGTGGTTTTTGCTGTACTTCGTCTATGAACACACCGTTCTGCACACTGGTGATCTACCTGAGCTTGGCAGTCCGGCCAACAGAAGACAAACTTTTACACAAGCTTTCCAGAGTACAGACACACGCAGTGATAACATGCTCATCGTGAAAAGGCTTCTTCTCTTCTACAAAACAATAAAAATTAAAAAACGCGTTTAAGGCAAACTTTTACTGGTAACAATGACAAGAGTTGACCTGACATCAGTAACTATATGCACATGAGCTGTCGATGCTGTATCTCAGTTATTAGTTATCTGTGTTATACAAACACTCTCTACAGCTATAGTACAAACTGTACAGCAGTATAGTACACATGCAGATTAGGGCATCATTTCTTTTCCCATTTTGTCCTGAAACACCCAGAAACGACCATACAGACGCCCACTGTCAAAAATAAAGGATAAAATAATCTGAATGTCAACATTGAACCGTTTTATTTAAAGGGTCAGTTTACACAAACATAATTCTCCTTTTAAACCACAGTTAGTATCCAGTCACGCAGATGGTTTTTATTTTGTGTCGACATTGAAATCTCCATTAAGATTTTTGCCTTTAAGCCAAATACAACTACAACTTTATTTCATATTTTTTATCATTTCATTTACTTAATGACTATATTTTCTCAAAATTATAACTATAGTTTATTACTTTCTTAAATTTGTATGACTTTATTCTTCAAATATTGCAACTTTTTAGTATAATTACAACTAAAGTCTCCTAATTTCACTCTCTCTCCTGTAGCTCTCTACACTGGCAGTATGTCTTTACAGAAACTATCATGACTTCCTTCCCAATATAACCACATTATTTTCAAAATGCTGCAACTTTTCTTTGTTAAATTACCCTTTTTCATAATATTTTGATGTTTTTCTGAAAAATTTCTTTCATAATATTGATTACTTTCACAAAATTACAACTACAGTCTCATGACAACTTTCCTCAAAGTGTTATAGACTTTATTGCCTTGATGTATTATTTTTTTTTAAATAGTTTTTATTAGCAAAAACATAAACTAGATTTCCCCAAATTGCAGGCGAGCTTATTCAAAACTTTACTCTCAATATATTACATTCTCAGAATACTGAAACCATATTCTTGTAACCACTTTATTCTCCTAAATTCATCGTTATAAGCGTTGACTTTATTTAAAGTACAACTTTATTTTAATCATATACATCATAATATTTCATCTTAAATGACCAGTGTGGAGGATTTAGTGGCATCAAGCAGTGAAGTTACAGATTAAAACTAACTTTTAACACCGCTGGCGTTTGTATTTGACGACCTCGGAACGAGAACAGGCTGTGAAATGTGAGGGAGAAACTACGGTGGCCACGAAACCTGTGAAGCATCTAGAGCCAGTGTTTGATTTGTCCATTCTGAGCTACTGTAGAAACATGCCAGCCTCCATACAAGGCGACTTGGGCGTCTGTCGACAAAGACGCTTCAGTCTAAGGTAACAAAAACACAACAATCCTTATATTCAGGTGATTTTACACTAATGAAAACATAACTATGATTATAATATTTAATTTCTGCCAGTAGATCCTCCTAAATGTTACACACTGGACCTTTAAGATACCACAAAGCAGTCGATGTATGTTTGTTATTTGTGTGAAGTGACCCTTTATAACACTTTCTAGGAATCATACCAACAGTCTTTTTTTTTTTTTTTAATCATTAACATTCAGATGACCTGAACCTGAACTCGTCCAGTTAAGACAATTGCGCTGTTGTAACTGCTGTAACTTGACTACAGTCAACACTTTGCATTGTAAATCTTTTTATAACATTATAAACAAACTATAGCGGCTTAGTTCAGAATCTGCAGATGTAACCGTTTAGACGAAATATAAATAAAAACAGGCACAATATGCAAAAGCAAGAAACTAATTTCTGCCTTTAAAACTTGTTCTCCACATTAAATCACCACAGGTTCTCTTCAGAAGCAGCAACATTGAACACCCACTCGGCACGAGGCGCCGTAACAGTAGAAGATGATGTCGGAGCAGCAGCCACTTCAAATAAACAGGTTTTTATTATTAACTGTCAGGAACAAAAGTTTGATCTGATTCTCGTCAGTCACCACCTTAAAAGCTGTGATGTCATCGTGTGACCTCACCTCCTACACATTCAGTCGAGGTGCACCTGTTCAGCATCAGCAGGTACGTTTTGGAGGAAACGCAGCGTCACCCAATGTTCAGTTATATTAACGGTGATTCGGGTTGAGTAACGGCGTCCATCGGCCACACAGGAAGGAGTGTAAATAACCGTAATGGTGGCAGGTTGTTTATTTTGAAAGGAGAAGTCTGGTTATTGTCAACACATCCAATAAAAAGACCAAAACCAACAACTTTTGATGACTTGTTGTCTATAAAAGGCTTAGATTTTACAAGATTATAATGGAGTGAAAGGACCACTGACCTTAAAGGTACAAGTCTGGTGATATTCTGCATTATTTTCAACAAATCCCACAAAAGACCAAAACAAACAATGAACTGATCCACTAACAAGTGTTGTCTGTGTATTTAAAGCCTGATAATCTTATTCCTCGGTACCAGAGCTCCATTGTTGTCCAAAAACTATTAAAAACACATAAATGAGGCACATTGTTGCACTGAGTGTCCCTTCATTACCATGAACACACACAACACACACAGTATTTGGACTCACATACACATTCCTGCTGCCAGAAGTAGAACAAAAAAAAGTGGATTAATCCACTGCTGAAAATAGTCCCCAACAAATGCATTATTTCTTCCTGATTGAATAATGTTTGCTAAAACCTATAGTAACCAGATGTCTTAGGAAATTACTGAGTCGGAACCAATGAGTCGGGAAGTCAGAAACCATTAAACAACAAAAACTGAAACATTGTTGGTTTTGGTCCTTTCACTGGATTTGTTGGTGGTAGAAGAAGAACGAGAAGTAACAGAAAGCAGAAAGACGACTGGCGGAGTGATCTGTCGCTCTGATCTGATCGGAGTATTGATTCAAAACAGTCACAAGAAGGACAGACGTGTTCACTTTACGCTGCTTTACTTTCAAACCTGAGCTTTGTTTCTATCAGCTGCAAATTGTTGGAAAACCTTTCCCATTGGAGTTCATTCTTGACCTCATAAGGCCTACTTGCTAGCTTCCGTACTTTTCATCTGCATAGCTCTTAACACTAGAAGGTGGACCTTTGAGTTTAGATATTTTATATGTGAACAGTTCAGATTTTGGCTATCGTGTCTCTCCCTCTGGTGCATGACGTGTCCTAATCTATTTACAATGAAAAGAATAAAAAGTGTAGAGGAAGTCAAACTCCATGAAGCGTTAGCCAAACTATAAACTTCATAATGAATATATTAGCAAACAACATATGACAATAAGCGCGCACACACACACACACAATCCCCAACCCAGACGTGAATAACGCCCAAAAAGATCCCATGTGCAGAAACGAGTGATTTCAGTCAACATTGGCAGTGAACATTCTGATATGTAACAGAAAAGTGAAACAAAGTCGACATTAAGTTTCCTCCAAAACCGCATTTTGCTGATGTGAAACAGCTGCACAGTTCTGAGTAATGTGCAGAAGATGAAGTTGTTTTAAAATCATATACATGAAGAAAAAAAAAGGAGGTTTATAAATGTGTCAGAGCAGGATTTTTAACTTAAAAGAGAAGCACAGACACCGTAACAGTTTGGTATTTACAATAGCAAAAAGGTGAAAGTTATGCAAATATTACAAAAATTATAACCATGAAAAGCAAAGAGTTTGATTCATTTCCTATACATTTTCTTTGCACAAGAACAGTTAAAACACACTTAAGTTTCTCTCCTCGAACATACTGAGTAGCACCTGTACTCTCCTGAAATATTTGCTGTGTAACCATGAGTTTGTCAGAAGAATTATTATTATTATTATTATTATTATTACTACTATTACTGGGGCAGAAGATGAAACTGGTACAAATTCAATTCTGCACTGGTGAAAAAAAAAAAAAAAAAAGAGAAAACAATGACAGTAATACTCCAGTATCTTAATATATATTATTTGTCCTCACATTCAGTTGGCAGAAGCACATACGTTACACCACGTCATCCCCTGCATCTCTACGTGGCAAACAGAGGGAAGAAAAGATGAGTGCGACTAACAGGAAGGGACAGAGTCAGTAATGGCCGGCGTGTCCTCAGTGAGGAGCTGAACTGAGCACTGAACAAGGCTTGATTTTGAAAACGAAAATGTGAAGATGGCAGGCAATCTGGTTGCAAACACTGACACAGTAACGCACCAAGTCAAAAAAGGAAATGATCTGCAGGAGAGAAAAGAGACAGTCCGTCACTTTTTGCAAGCAGGAACAACAGGAGCTCTACACACAGTGGAAACACATTAGTGACAGGAAGATGAAAAAATGATGAAAGGTTCGGTGAAACTATAAAAGAGTCAAAGGTTTCACTTAATATCTCAGAATTCAGACTTAATATTTCATCATTTCAATGGGTAAAAAGTTGAGTTTTGACTCATTTTTACACAGCATCTCATTTTCATCTCAATATTTCAGTGTCATAACTTTGCCTTAGTATGTTATAATTGTTATTCAGTATATCTCATACTTTTGACTTGGAGGTGTCGTACATTACAGTTTTTCAGCCCCAAACTTGTGACATACTCACATTTATGACATCAATTAAAAACGTTTCAGTATACATTTTGACTTACTCGCTCGTTTTCACTTGGTAAGTCATAATAAAGACTTGTATCTTATTATTTATTATTTTTACGTAGTATCTCCGAATTTCAACACATCATCTCAAACCACGTTTTTTTTTTTTTTTTAAACTTCGTATCTCATAACTGTGACTTGGAAAACATTCAATCAAAGCTGGAAACATGTGTGTACTTACCAATGCAATCCACAGCACCAGGTACTCGTCGATAAAACTATTGAAATACTGATCCAGGAACAGTAGTCCTGGTCCCAGGAAGGCTAAATCATGGAGATGCATCTCACTTTTAGTCATATGTGCTACCTGCGGACACACAGAAAGCACAGTCAGCATCAAACAACACAACTGTTTAAATCTGTTTTATCAGTATGTTGAATGCTGAGCTACTTCCTACAACATTTGTTGTGATGACAATAAAGTTTACTCAAACTCATGATAACTAATGTGGTAAAAACAAGTTACTGCAAACTGAAAATAAAAATGCAAACAAGTTCAAAAGTCAACAGGTGAAATTAGAGAAAAGCGATGTTCCACTGTCTCCATCAGCTTGTCACTAACTTTGTCAACTACCTCTTATTTTCAATGATTTCTAACATCAAGTTCTCTTGTTTCACATTGTAAGAAAAGTTTATTTAGTTAATGTTGAAACTGTTCAGTATTTAGTTATATGTTGCCCAATCACAGCTTACACTCTGTTAGTATGAGGTTTTTTTTCTGCCAGATTTGAGGAATTTAAACCGGGTGAAGCTGAACAAAGAATTCAGCTTTGGATTTGTTTGAAGGTGATTTGTTTGATGAAGCTAGGCTAATAGTTTCCTTCTGCTTCGAGTATTTGTAGTAAGCCACATTAGACACATCCTGGACCCCAACAGTGGAGAGACACAGCAATGAGTCTGAATCTGTGTGTACAAACTGAATACTGAAGTTTCTACATTTTCAAGTTTTTCTTTCTTATAAAAAAAAAAAAAGCAGGTTTAACTTACAACTAATTTATTGGTGATTTTGGCCGAAACGAAGCCAAACGCCAGGATATATAGACACGGATGTTTCTCAAAGAGCTGGACAGCAGACTTCTTGTATATCATCATCGCCAAAATTATAACGGAACCAATATGTAAGACTGGAGAGAGGACGCTGGTTCCCTGAAGACAGAGACACACAATAAACACACAGATGGTTAAGGTCAGTAGAAACATACAGGAGAGCTGCTTAAAGTCCCATAATAATTAGCAATGAGTGCTCCATAGCATATGATTCAGAGCGGTGGTGCATTCAGACACTGGCTGTTTGGCTAACTAACAGAATTAATGTTAATTAACTACAGATAATAAAATCTTAAAATTGAGAAGCCTTCTTACAGCTCTGGTAACTGTTGGCGCCTCTGGATCAAACCACATACAGTATTCATAACAGTCAATCAGGTTTCTTATTTACAAATAATAATAAGATGTGCCACAAGCCCTTTGAGGCAAATTCATTGTTTGTAATTTTTGGCCTAAATAAATAAAACTGAGGTGAGAAAATCAGTCAAAAACTGGAAAAATACCAGTAAAATTACACATAAATTAAAAAATATCTGTGAGCTCTGGTTTGCTAACACTGAATTCCAGTGACAAATGTCAGCTGGTAGCAGTGTTACTGTTATAACTGAGAATACACAGGTAGTAAGAAATGAACTGAGTGTTTCGCCAAACCATCAACAGGTCACACTGACGTGGCTGAGAAACATTTGTATGTTGATTTATCTGTGATAAAACAATATCCTCCCTCTTTGGTCACCAACTCATCAGGACTTACTGCTATTGTGGATCCGTTTTTGCCCACACCTCCCGTAAAAATAACTCTGAAGTAATTGGTGCAGGAGAAGATGGCTCCTAAAAACGTGCAGATGGCAGGAACCATTTTCATCTGGATATTTAGGATCGGAATCTAGGAATAAAGACAGTAAAAACACTCAAATTAAGGACAGATAATGAAACACTATTACATGGATAGATTTTTCTGATCATACTACTAATCCAGCTATATTTGTAATTTGTGAGTTCATTCACCTTTACATCCACAATGAAAGCATCATGAGTATTGTTAGAGGATTGTAAACACGTTCAGAGTGACACTCTTTCTGATAACAGTTACAGTAAAACAGTCAAAACAAGAATGTTAGAGCAGCATTTTTAAAATACCAACATAAACATCACTACACAATTATGTTATCACCAGTCTCATTAATCTCAATCATTAAGAATTAGAACCGATCACAATTACCAGTGACTGCCAAAAAGCAGATCCTCCCACGGCGGCCAGCAAATACATGATTATAATGAAGATTTGCACCTCAGTCACATCAATGCTGAGTGGGAGGAGAAAGCAGAGAGTTCACAGTGAGGATTAGTGACCAGCACACAGTCATCCTACAGCCTTCTTCCACAACACACTGCAGGACATGGAGCTGAAGGGACGCTGTTGTGTTCGTCGCCACCACACAGTTATTTATTATTTATAATGGAGGTTAAAGATTAAACAGGAAAGTCGCTGCATTAAAGATGCAATCAGTAATATTTCACCGGCTCTTTGAACGAGAGGTCGTCCCCCTCAGTGACGTCTGACATATGTTAGTGGGAGACACTAAAACATGAGAAGTCACTGCGCCCGCTTGCTAAGAAATCGTTCCAGCACATAAATCCCCGTAAAACCACCAACTGTTGTTTTTATATTTCCGTTTGTGTACAGATTTAACATCTGAGATACGTTTTAATTAGAGAGCTTTAGAGGTGTTGGTAGGGGTAGTTTTGAACCAGGCTTGCCATTTCCCCCTGCTTCCTGTGTTTATGCTAAGCTAACCACATCTTCAACACCTCACTGTAAGAAAGAAAAATGTTAAATGTTTCCTTACAGCAACACATATAACCTGTCTGGATATCTACAGCTACAATTACATATTTTCATTATCAATTAATCTTGTGATTATTCTTTTTAAATTGCATTTTATTTCTGATGATAAAACATCAGAAATAAAATGAAAATGTCTTAAAAATTTCCCAGAGCAAGTAGGAAATGGTTTGCAAACAGTCCAAAGCCCAAATATATTCAGTATACAGAGATATAAAAACAGAGAAACGCAGAAAATCCTCTTTTTAGTTAGATTTCCTCCACAACATTTTCCAAACAATCAGGAGGCGTCACATTGTTCCTCGTCCCCGGCGGCGTTTGGAATTAGCGTTTCGGGTGGAGACCATGCAGTTAGTTTGATACTGAAAGAGTTGTATTTTACTGACTGCACCTTTAAGCAGAACAGACTGTGAATTTAATTCTCCATGTGACTCCATAGAGGTCAGCGGTCACTGTGGAAGGAGACAGCAGTGAGCCATGCAGCAGCAGCCAGGAGGTTTACCATCATGTTCCACAGGCAGGGACCCACAGTGGCTGTGAGCATCTGTAATCCTGCTAGACAGATCTGCACTTCTGTTATGTCAAATCTACACACAGAATACATCCACATTTACTGCAGCACCACTGCACACGGAACTGCTATCATCTGATCAAATTACTAACAATACAAGTATAACTAGATGCTGTTTTTAATAAATAAAGTGAACAAAATGTGTTTTAGATTTGATAAATTCACTTTTCTTGTTATTCAACCAAAAAGTGTGTCACTGAATTTGGCAATATACTTAAGTAGAGCTGTACAATTTATCAAAATATATTAAAACAATAAAAAATATATTAATAATAATAATAATAAATAATGTTCGTCGTCATTTTAATTGTTTTTTCAGTGAAGAGGACAATTGCTCTATGTTTAATGTTTTAGGTAGACGGATTAAATTCTTGGTCTAACAGAATCTGACTGGGTGGGGGATTAAAAGTTTTTATCTTAACACAGAACCACAGCAACAAAAAACAAAGAAAGAAAGAAGAAAAAACAAGAAAACACCACAAACACAACACTGAGAAGCACAGAGCTGTTTGGCAGCTGTGACGCTGTTGAACCGCGCTCGGTGGACATAGAGAACAATCACACATCAGTCCCGGCTGTAGATGAAAGGTCTTAATCTTGTTTACTTATTTTCTGAGCAGACATTTCCTGATTTAAATCGTCACTCTGTGAATCCTATGGGTTTCTGTGTTCAGATAACATTAAATACAGATGCATTTGAAGGGCTTTTATCGGAATCAGTACTGAAACTCAGGTCTTGTTTTGAACTTTAACTCCTGAGACGAGCAAACTTAATATACAAATAGCTGGAAATTATCTTCTTGCTTTTAAAAAATAAAACAAGCAGCTTCTGTGGACTCACATGCCGAAGCGCAGTGTTCCTGACACGTATGTTTGCCAGTGGGCACAGTAGAACATAAACATCCCGGCGAAGCAGCAGAAGAACATCCAGTCTGGGTTCGTACCCATCTGCACGGCTATGCTGGTTCCCAACACTACGAACACTGTAGAGACAAAGGCATGAACACGGGTCGTGTTAAAAAGGGGCTTCAGATTCACGGAGACGCAGCAGAACGGCGTTGAGCGGGTACAAACTGACCAGTGGAGAGGGAGTCACAGCCGTGGTCAAACAGCTCGCCCAGCGGAGAGCTGCTATTGGTGCGTCTGGCTTGCTTCCCGTCGATGGCGTCCAATGACTGGTAGATAAACAGACCCACAGCACATAGCAGGTACGCCCAGAGAGGAGCCTGAAACACACACACACACACACACACACACACACAGGGGTCACTCACTCACCTTGAAACTCAGAATCGAATAAGCTTCAGGTTCATAACTCAGAACAGATGCTGTACATTTCAATACATATACAGAGTCTGTGATACTGAGACAAAGTCTGCTCAGTCTCTAACTTAAATTTATTTATTTATTGAGTAAACTTCACCAGCATAACAGAACACCAATACATCGCAGCCTAAGTGTCTCATAATAACCCCCCCCCACCCGACCCAAGCTGACATGAGGACAAAAGGTCATAAAGAAGTCCGTGTACTGAAGCAGTTTCCATCGACATATTTCAACGACCTGACGACACCCCGGCTCCGAGGACACTCTCAACAAGGTTTCCCATGCTCAGCTTTGAGGTTAGTTGGTGCAGAATGTGAGATATTACTCAGTGACCTCTCAAGCAATGAATATCAGAAAACATATACAGATACAAATAACCATCAATAGTGAACCCAGATATATCCGCAAACATTGACTATATATTATAAGAAATATATATATATCATGGAGTATTATAAATATGACACCACAACTGAAAAATATACCAATGAAATACAATAAATATATAACCTCATGTCCCACCCCTGACCCTCATCTCACAAATAATAACATATATTTCAGTATTTCTCTACCACAGACACCCAATGACAAATCACAGGTCTGTTGTCATTGTTGTGTTGAAGGTCAGTTCCCAGTAACAGACCTTAAAACAGTATTTGTGTTAACATAACTAAGACCTTCAGGTACAACGATGCTTCACAACGATGACGAACCTGTTCAGTGGCAGTTGGGCAGTAGTAGATGAGCACGAGGGTGGTGAAGACGTTGGTTGCCAGGCCGACGATGGTGATGAGGTTGGGGGCAATCCAGGAGGGGACTCTTCCCACCAACCATTCCCAGTAACGCTGCATCAGAGGCTCCAGTAGGGAGCGTCCAGCACTGCTGTACCTGCAGGGGACGGACAACAGCCAGGTGAGGACATGATGACTTTACACCCCCCCCCCAGGAAGGACAGGACACTATGATGATAACTAACATAAGATGAGTTAAGTGGGCTTTGGCTTTTCAGTGTTCAGAAACTATAAGCAGAGTGGCAGATCTTTTTATTCATAAATAATTTAGGTGATCTCCTCTCCGGTCAAGTTCAGACAGCCTGCAGGTAGTTCTGCAGTTACTGAGTGGAAATGTCAAACAGCTGGCAGGACAGGAATGAGTCATCAACCGTTAAAGTGTCGTAAGTCCAGAAATACCAGCAGTTTGTTTTTTTTAACCGAACTAGACAATCAGTTTATATTGTGCCATTTCTGAATGTCATATTTGAAAAGCACTGACTAACACTGTGTACAGCACTAATGTAATACCTTCATGATATTACATATGACACTGACACGTGAGCTGAAGTGGTCAATCTCTTACAATTCACTGCATTATTTTACTTGATTGTGTTCAAGTTGAAACAAGTTTGAATCTGTGACCACATAAACAGACCTGGAGTTTAATGTCGAGAAAATAAACTATTTAAACCACAGTCACTCTAACAGCAACTAAGTTTGAAATGTCATCTCTTATAAAACACTGAACACATCCAGATGAGACTGCTGAGGGCATTTCTGTACGGCTCCATAAATCACTGCCAACTTACTGTACATAATACTAAATATCCATATAAGGGAGAGTTTTACCGCCGTTCGTCTCGGCCTGTAGAGCTGAAATCTCTGTTACCTGTGCTCCTCCAGTCTCTTGAGCTGGTGTCGGGACAGGGGGGGCGAGGGCAGCTCGATCAGCCTGCGCAGCACTCCGGGGGCCAGCCAGCAGGCCGCCTCCATGCCCATGCCCTGCCCAGGGTCCTTGTCCCGGGCAAGGCTTCGGCGAGAACGCAAGCCCCCCCCTTGCTGCTGCCCCGTCGCACTCATGGAGCCCTGCTGCCCGCTGATCTGGTCCCCGATGGCTCTGGCTCTGCCTCTGCCACTGTCCTGCCGGAGGGGCTAAAGATCCACAGTGGGGCCGGGTGAGGCTGGACAATACCTGGGGAACAGAAACCAATGATATTACAACATAACATAGAAATACAGCAGCGCAAAACCCAGTGAAGCACTTTACTGAGGCTGCAGCTAATGATTATACGGATAGTAATGTAAAGATATATCACGAGGCAGTTCAACTGTGAGACAAATGTGTGAAAAACGAATTGTGGTTTTAAGGCGCGGTGACTTTAGTTTCACTTGTACAAAGAAAAGGAAACATGCATCGTTTTGCACAGTTTATACTAAACACACTAAACCTAAAACAGGTGATTGAGTATCGTTAGATCCCTAATCACTGATCAGATTACTCTTTCCTCAGTTTATTTTAGGGCTGCGCAATATTGTAAAGTCATCACATTCAGATTATTCCGACATATGATTTATGTTTAGTGTGAAAGTGATTTGAGATTTTGCTTCACAAATGTAATTTTCATTGAAAAACTATTAAAATCATGGTGATGTGACGTTTTGGGGGGTTCAACACGTTTTCTTTAACCTGGAGGACAAGACTTGTAGGCCAGGGCACCTCTTCAGCACTACAGCACTTCATTATAACACTGTCACATATTTTAGGTTCATCAAAAACTGCATCTTCTCTGATTTGGATATTAAACTATATTGCGAGTTCAATAATATTTGGATGAACTGTGCAGCCCAAGTTTATTTGTTAATCACCTGGTTATCATTCAGTTAAAACCAAAGCATATTCATTTTACAATAACATAAAACAGACCCACGTTGGAGAAGCAGCTTCAACAATGCCTGACTTAATCAGACTAATCGATACAGGTGATAGATCAGACCTCTCGGGGGCGCCAGTGAACACCAGTGATCAGAAAACTACCCCCAAACGGTCACACGTGTTATCGATAATAGGATTAATCGCGTCAGACGTGTAACGTTGCTAACCAATAAGCAACTGCAGGTCAACAACCCGATATCTTTGACCTGTGAACCAGATATCAACAAACAAACAAACAAACAAACAAACCCTCATAAACAAGAGTTAAACCAGCTGTAAACAACATCTGAACACTGTGTCACAGGAACGTTATCTGCGTTACTGAACTGTGTCTTGTGACTGTCAGCAACACATGAGCTGCTGTCAACAAACAAACAAACAAACAAACATCTGCCTCAGCTGCTTGTTGACCTCACTGCTGGAGATTAGCATTAGCTGGCTGCTACGGAAGACGTGTGTCGGCAGTGACAGTGTGAAGTTATTCGCCTGCTGTTCGGGGTTTGTTCTCTACTTCTTCGCACTTGCACTGTTGGTACCGCACTGCTGGTGTTACGGTGCTGATTCTGACGAGAGACTGTGTTATTGGCTGTTCCCCCGAGAGGACTGCGCCTAGCTGAGGCTAGCTCGGCGAGCTAACCCCAGAGACTGACGGATGTAACCGACTGACCTGGCCGATTAAAGGACGACAGCCGCGGGCAGTCCGAGGGGGAGGTGAGGGCTCTTCCAGCCGACAGACAGGACCCCTCTGTGGGTGGGTGGTGTCGGACTCTTCTCTGTGTGTCCCAGATTACCGGAGGACCGACTGCAGCTGCTGGTGGATCACCGACCGGTGTCACTGTCACTGCGAGCTACTTCACGTTACTTCACGTTAGCCATCACGGAAGTCTCGCGTGAGTTGCTCTTCTTTTAGACAGCTTTGTGCCCTGAGTAATGTCTCACAGGCAGGTCCGCCTCCCTCTTCTCCTCCTCCTCCTCCCTCTTCTCCTCCTTCTCCTCTTACTTCTCCTCCTCTTACTTCTCCTCCTCCTCCTCCTTCTT